ATATATATATATATATATATACGTTTGTATGTATATATATATCCATATACGAGTTAAAATCGTAAATTTCAATAGGATCCTTCAATTGTATTCTGTATGATGTAAGCTCTTAGGAATTGTAGAAATATCAAATTGACTAAATGCAATTTTTATTATTGTAATTTGATTACATTGACAACCGTAATTGTTTCAATGCACAGGAGTCATAAATCCTCCTAGCAAATCGCAAACGTGTAACTTAGATGTAATGTTACAAGAGTGTCAGAAATGTTACATAATATTATTTGTAATGATAAATATAATGTATTAGTACGACTCTACGTCAGCAACTTTGAATATAACATTTGTATATTGGAAATATATCAATAATATATTAATGTAATGTAATATATAAACATCCTTTATATATATTTTATATGTAAAAAAGACGTTTACAACAGTGTTGCTAACTTTGATGGACTACATTTTCTTATTTTCAGCGTTAAAATAGGTACAATAGTGATAAAAATTGATGCTATGGTAACATTTAATTTTGAATCGATTGTGAGCAATCTGCAGGGCTGTGTTCGGGGAGACATTAGAGCTATTTGAGTCATTCCATTTATATTGTTTATTAGATGTAAAACAAGGATAGAATGATTAAAAACGCTAATAGCGTCTCCCTAAATATACTCCTGATGACTGGAAGTTGAATAAATTCAATTACATATGTATAGTATGTATTTTATACGTATGTATCAGTCGTATAACATTCGTTAAATTGCTGAAAGATTACAGTTGTGGTATTTATGTTATTTTGAATTACGTGTGTTAGATTACATTTTTAAACAATTGTTATGATTATGCAACGAAGAAATATAGCTTTGTTCTTTTTAAAAAAATCCTCAAAATTATGCGACAATTACGTATCGTCTCCATAACCATAAATTACATATCGTCTCTATGCTTTGCCGGTTTGATTCTTGAACCCATTGTCAATTGACTCTAAATAAATCGCGTGAGAAGTATATCGAGTTTTGAATGTTTCAATGCTCGTTTTTTTTTAGTAATGTATAATCTATATACATTTATTTGAATATGGCCGCATTTGGTATCTGCGGCACAGATTCTGCGCAGTAATACGAAAATCTCAAGAATGAGCAGTACTTGGTTGTACTTGGTTTTTCCAACATGGATGCGATAACCTTATGTACTAATATTTATCTTTTCTGTATCTTTCATTATTTTTTATTATTATAACAAGCCTTTGCGAGTCAGTCTCTTGTAGAAACATAATGGTAAACATTTTTATTAATTGACCTTCATGATCACACCAGAATCAAAATGACCCCAGAGTGCATTTAACCTATTACCATATTCATAGTTTTCGTTTTTTGAAGACAAAAAAAATTAATGTTAAATGCGCTCCGAGGTCATTCTGACCCCTATGTGACTATTACGGTTCAACTTTTAAAGAGGTATGATTATGAAAGATTAAAATAAATGGGTATAGCGCCTTCGTTCTAATGTTATAATAAACTGTCCTTAATCGAAAAAATATTTATCGTATTAAATTGCGATGTATGTACAGATTTGTAGCATAAACAGTATTGATACTGAAAGATATAAACATATTTAAACGTATCTTTCTCGTATCCGTTTAAATACATACAGTCGTTTTGTAATAAAATAATATTTACTTTTCTCACTTTTCTTTGCGTGGAATTTAACAAGGTTTACAGTAAGACACACTGAAATTCTCGCTATCAATGATACGGTACTGATAATTTTTGTAGGTGGTGAAGTCTACTTCGCGCATTTGAAAAACGTGATCCATAACTTTCTTGACTACTGGTAGGAAGCCTGTCACATTCGCAGCGGTTGCAAGTTGATCGTAGTAAGCCCATTGCCTATCCTTTAATTTGTTTATGTGTCTCAGCTGGGGACAAAGAAAAAAGTTATATTTCAACATGACAATCACTATTAAGAATTCTGATTAGCCATCGCAATGGCCAATTATGAGATTAATTCTTTGGTATATAGTAATAATTACACATAATAAAAATCATTTTTATTTTTTATTAGACGTAATTGTAATTCTCTAAATTATTAAATGTTAAAGATATAAAAATTCTGAATTATTGTTATGTCTCGAATTATAACTTTGCTATTGAAACAAAAAATGTTTTTAGTTAATTATTTTTTAAGAATTTAATTTTATGCAAAATTTCTTTTATGTTATTAAATAGTAAAACGATTGGCCATATTCGTGTCTGTCTGATAATCTAGGATACCAACCTGGTAAAAAATTCATATATTTTTAATATTTTAATTTTCTCTTTATAAAGTTTAAATTTATAAAGATTTTTCTGAAAAATATCTCAAAAACTTCTTCAGATTTTACAATTTTTCTTTAGAAATTATAAAATGAGAAATTTGTAAATATTTCGGAACTCAGAATAAAGAATTTTAGAATAGACTTTTTCAATATTTCTGAAAAATGTTCCAATTTATACAAAAAAGCTGAGAAATTTCTAAAAGAGAATTTTCTAAAAAGTTATAAAACTATTATATATAGGAATTGTGAACAATTTTAAAATTTATATGGAAATTCTGAAAAATTATATATGAAGAATTCTAAGAAAATTTTTTATCAAGGTCGTGATAATTATTATATCAAGATATATTTCGTCTTTCCTTGAAAGAATCGTCATTTATCAATCAACGACATATCAGAGTGTCCCTCCATACAGTGTCAAAATTACAGCGGTTTCAGCACATGAAAACAAGTTTAAAATATCTAATAAATCCGATTATAAGTCCGATTCCGAACGGTTTCGAAATTTTTTCTCAACGAAATTATTTATCCGATAATATTTTCGAAAAACTGTTGTTTTTACGCAATAAAAACTTATAAATGATAAATAAATAAAAGTGTGAATACAGTAGAACCCGGATTATTATGGTAGAGGACTTTCTGATTCAGTTTAGTTCGCTTTACTTACCTATAAACAGTGATGCACCTATGTGATTGAAGTTTGGAGAAAAAAAATATACACCTAATGTCAAATACCCTGTATATGTCGTTGATGCCAATCATCGTCTCTCAAAATGTAAGCTTTTCCTGCAAATTTGTAAAAATTAATCGTGAATCACATACCGGAATGCCTTGGTCCAATAGAGACTTTTTCTCGATTTCATATTCTTCGCGCATCTGTTGCGCAGACGGTAACTTAATACGATCTTCGAGAATCCCGAGGATGTACTGTGCTTGAATATGGAACATTGGAAACGGTATCACCAATGCTGGCACACCCATGAAAAACAGATTTGTATAGTCCATATGCACTAGCTGCTTGTAGATGGGTTCCACATGGTCATCATCCGTACGTATCTCGACTTTAGCCGATATAAAGGGATACGTGAATTTGTAACCTGAGAAGAAATTATGAGAGATGATTATCTATCATGAATCATGAAGAAAGTTTAACTGGAACGCTGATATGCATTACCAGTGCAGAATATGAAATCGTCCACTTCCACTGTTGAACTGTCGCGGAAGGTGAAAATGTTCCCCTGGATGGACTCGACACCGGGTTTTTGCTCGAGATTGCTCGACATTTTCGAGTTGAGTTGTTCCGGCAGATTATGACTCAGATATACCTGAAATCACCAAGGGAACTGAAAGATTAATTAAAAAATTGCGTTGAATCGTTGATGATAATACATCATGATGTAAATATATCATGACTAGGATTACTATGCCATTGCTACGCGGCAGTTTTTTTTACAATTAGCACTTTACGACGTACGATTTATATGATCGCAGATTATGTATCTCAACAAAGATTCGGAAAAGACCTCGCATAAACTTTACGGGAACTGAATTTTTGGATGAAATTTTAATATATTTTATGTAAGGGCCAAAAAAAGGTTTATGTGAGGATACTAACTGAAAATTTAACTCAAATTTTCGTAAGGTTTGTCAGAGTTCCTTTGATACTGATCATACTTTCGGGACATTATCAGGAAGATGAAAGTATAACTTTAAATTTATCAAAGATGATAATTAATAGTGCAGGGATTTATGTGCCAGCGTACTTTATCAGCATATTGCGAGACTTCCATGGCGATATCAATGCCAGACCAGGACGCGCCGAGTATGCAAACCTTCTTGCCGGTATAGACCTCTGGCACTCTGTACTGATGGCTGTGAACACATCTACCGCGAAAGCTTTCGATACCTGGAATATGCGGAATACGACCGACACTGTAATGCCCGTTGCACAGCACCACGGCGTCGAAAATCTTTGTGGTTTCTGTTTTGGTCTCCAATGACTCGTATGTCACCATCCATAATGTCTGGCCGTTAATAGTTTCTAGCTCTACGTGCTTCACTAGGGTATTCAACTGAAAACAAACGTCATCCCAAATAAAAACATGAAAAAAAAAAAACGAAAAAGTACGATTTTAACATATACATATGTACGCAAGATTGAAAACAATATTTTATAAAAATAATGCATTACTATTATCTTTTTTTTTTATAAATTATTTGCTACTAATTTTGAAAAGTAACGTGTTGTTATTACTGTTACTTAGAAAGAAACGATTCGTTTTTTTTTTCAATACTTTTTTATAATATTAAGATAAAATATTAAGTATGTAATAATTGTAACAATCAGTATTAAGATTTAAAATTATAAACTTGTTTTCTAATTATTGACAAATTTATTTACAAATTTCTAGTACATTAATTAAGATCTTAAAATGATACCAATTGAGCATTAAATTATTAAACCGCTAATTAATTTAATTTGTGATATTATTACTGGTAGTTCAGTTGCGTTTCTAAGTCCGGAAAATTAATTCGGCGCGTAATTCGAGAGACTACAAACGTGGTATATAAATTTACATGAAATTATTTAAAGCACTTAAGATCTAGCTTCGATCGATATAAGTGTATTTAAAGCGTATAAAGTTCGTCTAAAGTCGCGCGTTTAGTTAAGGTTTGTATTTTTTTTCCATATATAACTCAAAATATTAATCATAACTTAAACACACGAAATTTAGACAATACGATTCGCTGACTTTAAATGCTTATAATTAAAAACCTATTAAACCTTGACATTTTGGTATTAGATCTTAGTCTTAAAATGATTTCAGAAATTTTCCAGCAAGTGATGTGGTAGATTTAAAAGACGCTCAGCATAATATGTTCAATTTCTTATTTAAAGAATCTTAAGTTTCATCAGATATGCATAGATCTACAGTTTGAAAAATGTTAAAATGACAGACTTTCATCTCTCTTGTCATTAAAGATTAATTAAATATTTTATTTATGTACTAATAGAAAAAATATAAATATAGTCCTTCAGCTATGGCGGTTTATTCATGTAACTGTTGAGGTGGTACTTGTGTAGTAAGCTATTATTCAGATGTAGTTATGGTCAGCTGATTTTTTTGCTTGATTTTTCGATGCTCGATCTTTTGATTCAATATTGTTTCTGTTCCCCTATAGGGATAAATATTTAAATAATACATTTTATATCGTTTAAATTCTGATAACAATGAATGAATTTACAAACGCTATACTGTACAATATATGGTAATACGAAAAGCAGTGCATAATATACCTCTAAACTTATATTGAAGTTTACTTTGAGATTTATCTTTTAAAACTTTAATGTACCTTCTAGATGGAAATTCTATGATGGTGTAGAGGATTATCGTTTTAACATCCCTACACAAACTGTACAGTGTATGCAGATGCATGCATATCTGACTTCAGATTTTTTAAATAAGAAATTGATTATAATTTTTAATTCTTAGATTTAGCAATTTTGAAGTATTTTATTTTTTAGCATTTTTTTTCAGTGAAAAAAGATTATCAAATTATACAAGTAATTAAATAATTAGAATAAAATAGAAAAAAGATTATTATAACCGAATTATTATTATAAAAGTGAATTATGTTATTCCCTTTAAGGCGAATTTTGACTATTTTTCTATGCCATCATATTTAGCAACCTAAAAAACGTAAGATCATCACTTACGTATCAACATAACTTACGTTACACTTCTTAGGCAAAAATCGGCCCACCATCCTTTATCACTGGCATACTGCCGGCCATGCAGGACATCCTTTAATAGTTGAAACAATAAATCAAAGTCGAAAGCAATAAGGACAGTACCTATAGATTGGATGTAAAAAAAATTTAAATTTCGGTTGTCAAAGATCCGTATTCAGAACGTGTTTATAATGATGTTAGCGTGCTAACGAATCGAGATGTTCTCTCTTCAGTATATATAACGTTAGATTATATTATACTAAGTAAGAATGATCAAGAATTTTACAGTTTACAAGATATTTTATTTTTTATTTCAAAATATGCGAAAATAAAAATTGAAATATCTCTTTAAACTGTATTATTTCCTAAATAATTTTACTTTAATACTTATGTGCATACGCAGAATAATTAGAAGAATTATCAACAAGTAAGATAATACCTATAACGAAGGTTATAAGTCGAAGCTGGAGCTTAACCCCCCATACCAAAAAAACATCACAGTTACAACACAATAATCATAGTTACGTCATGGTGCGTTTTAGTAACATGTGTTATTTTGTTATCACAATCTCACAGTGACATATTTTCTTTCTGATTATTATGACTCTATTGTGACATAAATGTGACCCTTTACTATAAAAGAAGTTTAAATATTTTCATGTTGTGAATTTATACACTACATATGTAATCATTTGAACTGCGCCGAATTGATTTTTCGGATTTAGAAACGCAACTGACCACTGTAATAATATCACAAACTAATTGATAAGTAATTAAAAAATTTGATACTTGATTGGCATCATTTTAAGAATATTTCGATGTACTGAAAATCTGTAAATAAATTTATTACGAAAAATATATACCTCGGTTGGAAGAACACGGATCTCTAGCATTCCGTGCGAGCATCTTAAGCTTTTAAATCACTGAAGATAATTAGTAATATTCTTCACAATAACCGATATGTAGGAACATGTACATTTTTCAAGGAGCGTGTGTAAATGATTTATTAAGATACCACATAATGTGAATATACAACAAGTGAGAGATAATGCTTATCGAAGCTGAATTCAACACTCCCGACCGAGGTAATATTTTTCGCAATAAATTTATTTATACATTTTTACAGTACATTAAGGTCTTCTTAAAATGATGCCAATCGAGTATTAAATTTTAAATTGCTTGTTAATTTAATTTGTGATATTATTACAGTGGTCCAATTGCATTTCTAAGTTCGAAAAATCAATTCGACGCGTAGTTCAAATAACTATATATGTATTATATAAATTTACATGAAAATATTTAAGCACTTAAAATTCAGTTTTGATTATGGGTATCATCATCCTTTATTTGTTGTATATTCACATTATACGGTCTCAATGAAAAATTTATTATTATAGAAGAATTATAGTATAATATGTAAGAGAAATCTTTCATATAATTTTGTTAAAAAATATGAATAATACGAGACCTTAAAAAATCAATTTTTTCGAAAATTGATTTAACCATTATTTGTCTCTCTACCAACCTTACAATTCTCGTCTAAAATTTTTTTAGATAGGCTTTCTTTCCGGCATAATATGTCTAATAAGATTAAAATTAATCATCCTGTACGTACATGTTAATCAGAAACTCAATAACGATAGTTCGTGTCGAGTAGCAAAGAAATGCTTTTTTTATATGTCTCCTCGTTTTTGTATATATTTAATAAAATATGTTATCAGAATGCAAAAATGAGAGGACGTAATATATTATGAATTTGATCTTCATAGTAGAATTCAATAGAATTCAACAACTTACTTTAATGTAGGGATAAAGATTGAAGTGCTTCGCATAACTCATGAGGTATTTTTTTATTAAGCTGTGGTGGACGAAAGACGGGCCACCCAGATCTTGAAAGGGAAAGTCAGGTAACGCCATTATTTCCTTCGGTATATTTGTCCTGCAAGAAAAACGGAAACAATTCGTTCTCTCAGTATTTAGGTGATCATGCGCACGACTTTTATTAATTTTATCCGCCGCGGAGTTCAAAAGATACGGCGACCTATAACCCAAGACTGGCGATAAACAAAGTTGTTAGTTATTAACAATTTAGCTGAAATAAGCTCTAGTCTATTTTTAATTTACTTGATAGACATAACTATAATTGGAAAGAATATTTTTCCGTCTTATGATTAACCGTGTTTATATTACAACGAAAAGAAATATTTTTAACTCTTTCTATATTCTTTACAAATATTATTCGATGTGCTGTTTAGCTAAAATTAAGTTGGCTGTCGAAGGCTTGAATAAGAGTGACTTGGTAGTTTTCAGAACCGTAGAATCACATTAATATATGAGAGGTACAGATGAAATAGATAAGAAAATTATATTATCCGAACGCAAATAGGGAATCATATGTTCGCATTCGTCATCATTGTTTACTTCGATCGGTTTCGTCCAAAAATCTATATCTTCGCAAGAGTCTTTGAGTCTTTCACATTATCACGCAATGATTTTCGATCTACATTGCAGATCGCTTCGTTAATTTGATTTATTGTTGATATATGCGCTTCCTTTTCGGAATTCAGAAAATTGATCTTCTCATTAATGTGTCACAAAGTGTATCGCGTGTCAAGCAAAGTTTATCACGTTACTGCATTAGACCGGGTGTTTCTCATGTACATGATATGCAGGGACGCTGTAATTATTGTTTTTTAATTGTAGAAGACGCTTATTCGTTACGTACTTTTATTCCGAACTTGTTGCAAATTAATTTCTGTTTTGGAATCAAACTTATGATCTGCCGCCTCACCAACAGTCCTTCATTTTTATCGAAATGTAATCGCCGTGTGTCACAGGAATCCCAACTTCTATTAAGAATATAATTGAGATTGCACAATCAGTTATTCTATTATGCATTATAAAGAATGACAAAATAAAAATATATATCTCTACGCACACGCACCACACATACGCACACGCACACGCACACGCACGCACATACCTGTGATGAGACTGCGATCAAGTCTCACGGTTAATTAAAAAAAACCCTATTTAGATCTAATTGATGATGGAAAGATCTAAAACTATATTTGGATAAGTGGCTAATGCTCAATTTCTTCACCTCTAGATAACTTTATCCAGGAGATATTTTCCACATTAAAATGGAGATATCTCTTGGATAAAGTTATCCGCAACTTATCTGGAAGTGAAAAAATTGGGCATAATTGCAAGACAGCAGTGATACAGATTTATCGAACAAGACGAAAAAAGGAGAGAAGAAAATTGTGTATTAAATGAGAGATCCCAGATAATCCCATGTATGTTGCATAAGATATCTAAAAGATGTCTTTTAGATATCTTATGCAGCATAAATGTTATTTGGGATCCTATAGTGTATGTCAATAATAGCAAATGCATATATCAGGTGCCCCACGCCCATCCTTTTAAGAACGGATTCTTTAAAATATTCTAAGACGAAAATCCTAATACGAAAATGTCAAGGCTATAATAGTTTTTAAATTAATAATGGTTAAAGTTTACTATAATGATGGAGCTGATATTTTGTGTATCATTTGTCCTCATCAAATAATAAAGAGGGATAAAACGATACTTTTCACGCGCTTTATTGTTACTTCTATACGGAAATTATTTGTACATTACATACACATAATTAATGTTGGATCATATAACAAAATATCAATTTAATAGCGAAATACTACTTGTTCCAAAATAAATTCATAACCATGTTCGTGTAATAAACATTTTGGTAATATCTATAAATAAATTAAATATGAAAAGAATTAAATATATTGATAAAGATTGAAACATGTCAAATATTTATTTAATCCCAATATACAAATATCAAATAAACGGCACACATATTTTTCAATAATTATCGTAGTAAAACGTTGAAAAAAGATACAAATATAAATTTATATAAATTATATCGATACATATGGATACACATCGTTAAAATTTATAGAGTATATATATAAATCGATATCATTCTTACTGATAATTAAAATATATATAAGTTCCCGGGAAAAAAATGTTTTATATATAATTATAATACTTTTAAATACATTTTATAGTTTGTGCTTGCACTATCCTCCGTTTTAATGTTTGAAGGTCATTGTTGGAAGATTATGTGTGCCTTTCAATAAGCGACACGGTGCGACACAGTGATCATGTCATCTTTGTTTAACATTGGCTGTGTTCAGCGGATTCAATAGTTGAGTGAGTGCTCGCTATTATTGTATTCTTTTAAATCAGCATTTTAAATCTCGAAGAATACATCAATAGCAGCGAGCGCTCACTCAACTGTCGAGTCACTGAGTCACTGAATACAGCCATTATGTCATTTGTCGCTTGTTGGAAGGCACATTATAACGAGTACTTCATACACATTTTGTTTCAGAGCAAACAAAATCAAGAAACATATTTTGATATTATTCATTCTTCTAGTTCTGTCACTTAAGAATTAGTCAATATTTTTATTTCTTTGAACAAAGCGTTTGTGAGCAAGCAAACTTTCCTTTCAAAGGAAAAGTTTGCTTGTTTCAAGATCCTAAGTTCATATTTTAAGTTTGGCGGTTCAACCCGGCAACATCCTGTATATGTACTTAAGATACACGGCCAGTCTCGCGCTTCGATATCATCGCGCTAATTGTTCTTGGCGCGAGACACTATCGTGTCTCCTGATAAAAAGTTATGTAATGCTTTCTATTTACTCAGCTACTGACTCAGCTCTTACCTGAGATTCTTATACATGCTGCTGTGAATCAAAAGTCCATGTTTGTCAAGATCTGTTTCATCAGTATATACCCAGGTGCCACCAATGTGATCGGTTTGCTCGAAAAGGACGAGATTATAAGAATTTAATTTGGCCACCACATGACGAGCTACCACCAGACCAGCCACTCCACCACCGACAACAGCGATTCTCGTTTTACTACTCGGCATAATTTTTCAATAAAAAGTCTAAAAAAGATATACGTACATTAGCCGTATTAAAAAAAAGGGATTCAGAAAAAAAGATAACTGAAATATAAAAGGAGAATGTACCAGGGACTCGGACCGAAATTACATTCCGGAATAAAATTTTGGACCGGTTACAGGACATATGGTCCGAGACTACTACTTTCGATTTCGGTGTCAGTTTCGATCCTTTTAACGATAATATGCTGACTGTTGTAAGTGTACGATTACTGAAACTGAAAAGGAAACCAAAATCTAATTCCAGTAACCATTAGGGCGAAGGATCGATAAAAGAATTGGAACTAAAAGTTGAATTTAGCCTCGGACTATTATCTATTGTACACTGAAATTTTCCAGTCCAAATCCCTGGAATGTACTTTGAGACTAAAGATAATGTTACATACGTTTCTTCTTTCCAGTGAAATTGAATAACACAATGTATATTTCTTTAATTGATGAGCAACAAGTTTAATTTGGTAATATTATCAACAAACAATTTAGACTTAATTTCACTGATACTATCGTCACTGTTGTATTATTTTCGCTTGTCGATCGTAAAAATATGCAGATGATGTCCTGCTAACAAAATTATCTGCGATTTGAGATACTGAAACGAGGAGAGTAACGAATACGACATTTAACGCAATAAATATCAGAGACATTAACTTAATACTTCGATCTGATTCGGCCAAAGGCTCAAATAAGACTGATCAACGAAAGCGAGTCTACATATATTGGACTATTATCGTTAACTGGTCTGTTCGTTTTATACTAACGTTCTACATATGGAAAATATTTTCTCCGGTTTACGCTCCTATCCCCTTCTTTTTCTGATGAAATAGCTGTGGGCTTATGGTCCAGCGTTAAGTGTGTTGACCCGCAGAATACTCGGATGAGAGTGAGAGTAAGAGAGAAAGAGAAAGAGAAAGGCGCGGGGGGGGGGGGGGGGGGCCGAT